AGAGAAGCAAATAGAAATACATACAGATAGTAATGCTGCAATAAGAAATATTAGTAGAAGTCTAGAACAAGCAGACAAAAACAAGATTATTAAGAAAAAGAATGCAATATGGATAATGAAGATTAAAGACCTCGTCTAGTGTTTGGAACCAGTTTTATTTTTATTAACCGGTTTTAATACCTTTTTAAAAATCAAAACTGAATATAAACTGGTTATATTAAATCCAGTTAAATCTGGTTAATCGGTTATATTTAATCGATTAAATCCGATTAATCAGTTATATTTAATCGATTAAATCCGATTAATCAGTTATATTTAATCAATTAAATCTGATTAATCAGTTATATTTAATTGATTAAATCTGATTAATCGGTTATATTTAATCGATTAATCAGATTAATCAGATTAATCGATTATATCGATTAGTTATATTACCGTCACAAGTGTTTTTAAAAAATTGACCAAATGATTGTTTGGCCAGTTCGATAAGTTTTGATTTGGTGGTTATAAACATCTTAGTCTTAATTCAATCACATTTTTCAGAAATTTGCAGGTAAAAAATAAAAATAAGAAAATAGCTATTAATTATCATGAAATAGAAATATATATGAATAAGTTATATAATAAATAGATATATTAATTTTCTGGCTTCAAGATATTTTTTGCTATTAGTAGGTAGAAAATCATTCTCTCTGAAATACATAAGACGTTCCCAAATCCAGTTCATCCTCTCACTAGGAGTTTCATCAGTATGAACTTGAGGCATCTTTATATATTCATCTCACCTCTCAGATCCTAATTATTCATAATAAGTGAATACTCATTCACTCCCAATTCCATTTTGATAACAATTACCGACTTCATATGTTCCATCAATATTTCTCTTTATGATTGGGGTTAGAGAGGATGTGAAAAAAATAAAGTAAATAAAATCTCGTCAAATACCAACTTGAAATATTCCATGAACATTGCCCATATCAGCTGAATTACATTAAAAGGCATCCCAATATATAGGGTTCTTACCTGAAGATTAGGGTTCTGCAAGTGCTAGGCACGTACTATTAAAAATAATGCCCGGGCCTGTGCCTGGCACTATGTTTTAATAGTGCCCATGCCTGGCACTTGCAGAACCCTACTGAAGATATTTCAAAGTCATTCCACTTATGCCAATCGTTATAGTTGATTAGAAATGAAATAAATGCAAGACATAAGTTATAAAAAATCATATCGATATACAATTTACACAATACACAAGCATATACACAAGTCCAAAATGTAAGCAAAACTTTATTATTTTTTATTTATTTTTTATATTTTGCTGGAAATCCTTGCCTTGCTGGCTCCAAATCTTTAATGAGAATGTATATTAGCTTTGCCTATTTTGACAGATATGAATGTATTTTATTATGAATTCTACAGAACCATTGCACTTACCAATATGATTCCGCCGATTATTTTTTAATTTTATTTAAGAGCCTAATTTAGGGAGGAGATATTTTGGCACTTGTTCATCTTCATTATCATTCTCATTGCTATTCCTATCCGACTCGCTATTGGCAAAAAGAGAACCAAACATTTGCTTTTGTTTGATGACGGTGTTATGTATATAAAAGACGATACTATGTCGATTTCCAGCAATGATCAGGAAATTCCCATGAATTAAGATATTAGAACAAAAAGCAACCCCATGACCTTGCTTGGCATGAACAACCAACCCTAGTTCAGGAAATGTTAATTTCCCACCTTCAAATTCACTGAGAGGGTAAACCACACATAGTGTATTGCAATGTTCTTTCAAATCTCTATGGAACTAAGAGATGGCATTAAAGTTGATGGCAACTGTGAGAAAAGCTCCAAAAGATTTTGAAATGTTGGGCCCAAGATTGAGCTTCTCTATCTTAGCATATAAGGTTGAATAAGTGTTATGAATATAGTTGTTGACCATATTAGAAAGCGATTATAGATCCTTGATTAGCTTATAGACACACCTACATGTTCCAGGCAATGGCTAGAAACAGTATTAGCTGTAGTATAGGGTTCAATATTGCTATCAGTAAAACTGCCAAAATATTCTATTAGGTGCTTAGAGAACTGCTTAGATTGGTAAAAGGGGTGGGCGAGAGTGTGAGTGTAATATTGATCCACTATTTTTAGAGACTTTTTTACAACTATAAGATCAGAGAGACTGAAAAAATCAACCATAGTCTCTCCGAGTGCATTTTTAAAACATTGTGGTTTGAAGATGTGGTGATAACCTTTAAAATCGATTTTATACATAACTCTCTTCATCATATCCTCTGCGATATTAAGTTTATTCTGCAGGTTTTGTTGCGATATTTCATAAATATTATGTTCAAGGGTTTTACTTTGATCTTTTGCACTTAGGTATGCATACTCAATTTTATACCATAAATGATGGCAATGGTTGCAAAACTTTTTTTTAAAGTTGGGTTCTATAAAAAAATATGCCCAACGTGCAAATTCTTCTCACCTATCTACTTCTAAATCAAGTGTATTTTTTTTATTATTACTATCTAGACTAAAAACATTAGATTCTAATATATACATAAAATCTGAAAGAATTTTTTGGAAAGGTAAGAATTCATTACTATTATTGTTTTCATATAATTTACTATGACTCGCATTCGAAAGCATATCTAACTGGGAGTTAGAAAGAGTACTAAGTTTAAGGATATAAGTATCGAGCTTTACCGTATTCAGAGGAAATAACTTACTATCAATCAACTTTTTAACAATCTGGCATTGCATCCTTTTCTTTAGAAACTTTTCTATAAATGTAAATTGGGGGCTTATAATATTAGTCATTTGAGATTTATTAATTGATTTAAGATCTTCAGCCAAAAAATCTTCAGATACCCAAAAGGAGCGTATATATTCATGTGATTGATCCTTTGTAGACAGACACATCTCACCTTAGGTTTTATGCTAAATTATAAAAGATTGTTAATTTGAGTTCATATTTTCGATTAATCTAGATCAAAATTTTCTGGTGGATACAATCATTCTTCGCAATGTAGCTCAGTAGTTTTAAATCGCAGAAAGTCTTCGTGACCTTCCTCTTCTCGCATATACTTGCTTAGAAAGACGACGATCATGCCCAAGAAAAATTGAATTAAAATAAAGTAGAGCTTTATAAAGGAGGGTTCAATCAGCCCCTAGATCTGCCTTGAAAGGCGATGACTGTTTCTATTCTTCAAGCCGAACTTTATTTATTGCTATACTACTAAAAATAATATTCCCAACTACACATTATAACTTACTTTTTGGGGGTTATAAAATATTTCTTTTTGTTTGTCACTATCATTGCCTTCACTATTATTATTATTGCTATAATTGTTGGTACTAGGGGTGGTTTCATCATTCATTGACAGGTTGGTCTGTTTTCCAAGCTTCACCTTCTTAGTTCGTCGTAACTTCTTATGCAAATTTTGTTTCAAGGCCTTCAAATTAGTGGAGCCAGATGCTTGTATATTTTTTTATTACTAATGGGTGGGGTCAAAAGTGATACAAATCAATGAGCCGTTAGAGTCAAAATAACCCCAGAGCCGATGTCCTGCTCAAGAAGATTTAGTAAACACTT